CTTTTTAGGAATGCTGTATTTATCTGTACAATATGCTTAGTGAATGTGCCTAAAATACAATAGGCTGTAGGCACTCCTCCTTTAACTACTGAGTTTTCCTCCTTTGACTAGGTTGTTCAGTAAATTGGTCACTAAATAAGGAATTTTGGGGGGGCAGGGTACCAGGGATTGAACTCAGGACCTTGTGCTTGCCAGGCAGGTGCGGTGCCACTGAGATACAACCCTGGGCCAAGGAATTGTTTATAGTATGTACACTACAATATTCAATACTGAGAAATAGTCAAAGGAAACTCCAATGTGATGACTTAGCTTTTGTTTGCACAACTGTTATATGCAGTGTTGAAATACATAATATAAAACTACAGTGCTATGCTATACTGTATAATCAGCAAAAATTACTGTATAGAAAGGTGTACTGTGTAAAAAAAATTGAACCTCTATCAACATGATGTACAGAACTGTTAAAAAAAAAAAAAAAAAGGAAGACAGGTCCTAAGTCTGAGCAGTGGGTCATTAAGTCTGAACCATCCTTAAACAGGTAGGTCATTATATAAGGAATACTGTGTTTGAGAATTCAGTGCATGTGCTGCTAAAAAAAAAGTCTGGGCATGTGTGGTAGCAGGCACTTGCAATTCCAGCACTGGGGAAGCTGAGGCAGGAGGAAAACTTCAAGTTTGAGGCCAGCCTGAGCTACATAGTGAGTTCAAGGCCAGCCTAAATTACATAAAGGAGACTTTGTCTCTGAATGAATGAATGATGAATGGATGAATGAATGAACGAACAAACAAACAAATAAAAGTGCGTCCAAAATGCGAAACAAGTGCAAACTGCTCTTTCAAACTGGCAGCAAATAATCATTGATAATTTTTAATTGAAAAATTAAAATTACACAAAATTTTTTTCTTTCCTTCTTTCTTTTTTGGGGGGTTGGTTTGTGGTGTCACTGGGGATTGAACCCAGAGAGCCCCAAACTACACCCCAGACCTGTTTTGAAACATGGTCTCTCTGAAGTTTCCGTGCTGGCCTTGAACTTGTGGAACCTCTCCTGCCTCAGCCTCCCAAGTACCTGGGTTTACAGGTATGTGCCATGATTTCTGATGCAAATACTAGTGGGGTTTTTGTTTGTTTTTTGAGACAGGGACTGGCCTTGAACTTATAGACCAGGGTGGCCTTGGATTTGCAGTGATGCTCCTGCCTCAGCCTCCCAAATGCAAGGATTATAGGTATGCACCAACATCCCAAGCTTTAATTTTGAACAAAGCTAACTAGGGGAAAGTTTACAGGGCCCCCACTTCCCAAGTGCAATATACGACACTTTTATTGTTGGAAATCAGCTTCATGATAAGTATCTTCCCTCTGAAGCAAGAATGCCTGCATATCCATGTACATTTAAACCCACCTATACTCAACACTACAGGCTGCCTTTTTACAGATGTCACTGAAATCTAGCACTGGATCCCTGAAGAATTTTTCCCAAAGGTAACTCCTGAATTCCCTAGATTCTTATTAGACTACTCAAAAAGAGCAAATCATTCTCAAATCCCAAATACTAGTTTCAAAAGATTTGTGCCTAACCGTGCTTTCTTAAAATGAGCAGAGTCCTTAAGGGCCATTTCCACAGTTCCAGTTTCAGTATTTCATAAAAATTTCATTATTATTAAAATATCTGCTTAAGAGAGTCTGCCTTAGGGCAAAAGGTGACTGTCCTCCACTCTCTTGTAGTTCAAGCAGTTTAAGAGAAGTGTTATCAATATTATCCTCACAGATGCCCTGCAGACCTTAATATCTCTTAAGGAATGCCATAGTATCTCCTTGATTAGAAAAATATAAAAAGAAATATATTTTTCTTAAATATTAACATAAGTTAGAACAAAAAGAGGCATTTTAGTTTATTGAGTAACTATTGCCCAAAGCAGAAAGAATCTGAGATTATTCTCATTTATGAAAATACATACAGAACTCTTTAAATGTTTACAATCTTTGTAAACTTACTCCATTAGGATATTAAAGAAAAATACACAATGACTCATGAAGCTTTTTTGTTTTGTGTTTGTTTGCATTACAGAGGACTGAACCCAGGGCATTCTCACTGAGCTACCTCTCTAGCTCCTTTTATTTTTTTACTTTTGACAGGTCTTACTAAGCCACTAAATTGCCCAGGTTGGGCTGGAGATGTAGCTTAGTGGGAGATCACTTGCCTAGTATGTGCAAAGACCTAGGTTCAATCCCCAGTACTGCAAAACAAACATAAACTAAAAAACTGCCCGGGTTGGGCTTGAACTTTTGATCATCCTGCCTGAGCATACCAGAGTTCAGGGATTTAAGCACAGGCCACCACGTCTGGCTATGATCTTCTGTATTAAAGATCTTTTGTATTAAGAGTGTGGGACAGAAGTACATAAAGTTATGATAAAATTAGTATTTCATATAGATGGGGGAAAGGACTGATTACTTCATGAGGAGTGCTGAAACAAGAAAAAAATACTTCCCATCTTTTTTTTTCTTTTTGATGCTGGAAATTAAATGCAGGGCCCTGCACATGCTAAGTCGTTATATTTAAACAAAAATCAGATAATATACTCAAATGTAAATCTAAACCATGTGTAGATGTTAATGAAAAATTTTAAAATTATATTTATAATTTTGAAGACATTTTCTAGGCATGTTACTAAAGTTAGAACACTAGGTTATATACATAAAACCTGTACAAATAAGAAAACCTCATAAAGTTTATATACATATGATACAGTGGGAAGGTATGTGCAATACATACGTTGGGAAAATAGTATGTATAACACAATATGTATATGAGACAGGGTACACAGGATAAGGGTTAAAAATATGAATCCTCCCCCTCTTTTTAAACAGGGTTGCTTATGTTGCCTAGGCTCATCCAAACTTCAACACAAGCAATCTTCCTGTCTCAGCTTCCTAAGAGGCTGGAACCATGGGCTCACATAGATTCTGATACTAATTAGAGTAGTACACACAATAAATTTGAGTTGTTTTTTTTTTCTGTACTGGGAATCGAACTCAGAACCTTGTTCTTGCCAGGAAGGTTTAGTGCCGCTGAGCTACATCCCTGGCTGAATTTTTTCTTTCTTTATTTGATTTTTTTGAAATAGAGTCTCACCATGTAGTTCAAACTGGCTTTGAATTCAAGATGTATCCCAGGCTGGCCTCAAACTTGCACTGATTCTCCCACTTTAGCCTCCTGAGTGCTGGGATTATAGGCATACGCCACCATGCCTGCAATAAATGTCAGCTATTGACCCTGATATTTTTTTAAAAATCACATACCTGTAACAAATGAGTATTTATTTATTTATTTAATTTTTTGCGGGGGGGGGCCTGGGATTGAACTCAGGTCCTTGCGCTTGCAAGGCCAGCGGTGGAACCACTGAGCTAAATCCCCAGCCCACGAATGAGTATTTAAATAAAAGAAGCGGGGTGGGGGGAGAGAACTATGGTCTTAACTCCCATGTCCGATGGCCGAGCACGGAGCCTTCAAAAGGCCACTTGATACAGTGTCCAACGCACATCGTCGCCGTCCTCAGTACTTCAAGGGCTCAGATTTGCAATACTTCAGTCCCTTTGAATGGGGAAGAACACTCACCAACAAGCAGGGAAGGAGTCACTCACCAAAAGCAGTCATACCCTGAGCAGGCAAGGAAGCCCTCAGACACCTACAAACCACCTCCCCTCCCAATCGCCGAGCTAACCCCAAAGTGGCGCATTTGCGAAGCGGTCACCAGCTCAGCTCCAAGGCACCTGCACAGGAGTCCAACCCTTGTCTCTCAGGGCGGCACCCTGCGGGCTGGTTCCCTGCTTACCTTCCCGCTGCTTCTCCAGCGAGGCCTGCAGGGAAGCACAAAGGGCCCAGCAGCCTCCACGCCACAGGCTGGACGCGGGGAAGGCGTGGGTGTGTGGGTGGGTGCGGGGACGGGGCGTTAACGGCCCTCGCGGGCGTGGAGGGCGTGACCCACAATCCCTCGCGAGAGCGGGAAGCGGGCAGACGAGGGGGACGGCTGGCGAGAAGAGTCAAGAGAGTGGAATCAGTGTGGGCGCGGTGGCGCGCACGTCTGTAATACCAGCAGTCTTGTGGAAAGGGTGAAGCACGATGTCAAATTGGAGACCATCCCAGGCTACATAGAGAGTTTGAGGTCAGCCTGTGTTACATAGTGAGTCCGAGGTCAACCTGGCCAATTCAGTGAGATCTTGTCTCAAAAAGAGAGAGGAACCCTGGCATGGTGGCACATACCTATAATCCCGGCACTCAGGAGGCTGAGGCAGGAGGATCTTCGCAAGTCAGAGGCCAGCCTGGGCTACATATTGAGTTCAAGCACAGCCTGAACTACATAGTGAGACTTTCAAAGATAATTTTTTAAAAAATTAAAGAGAGAGACAGGAGAAACAAATGAAATTTAATCCTTACATTATGGTTTCCTGGATTTTGCACACGGAAAAAAAAAAAAAAGGAAACTGGCTAGTGTTCCTTTTTGTTCCCACTATGCCCACTCAGGGACAGCATACCTAACAATGACTCTCAGGGTCCCATCCAATGGGCCAACACAGACAAGGAAATGTATAGGGCTCCACCCGGCTCTCTGTTCTATGGTCTCCATCCGTCTTTTTTTTCTCCATATGTACTCTTTTCTTTTTACACTTAGAAGAATACAAGATGTCGTCTGGATGTACATTTTTTTTTTCTTACCCTTATGAAAATCCAGGAATTTGCACCTAGTTATACTCTCTACTCTTTATTTTGAGATAGGGCATCGAACTTTCGATCCTTCTGTCTCAGCCTCCGGATTACAGGAGTGCGCCACCACATCCGGCGGGATACACGTGATGCTGAATGGACAAATCCCAGATGGGATTTGAAGGAGTCACAAAGGAACCAGCGCCAAAGTGTGACAAAGAGCGCGCTTCCACAGCAGCAGAGCCAACTGGGACCTCGCCCCGCCCCTTCCGCCTTACGTCTGACGTCACAGCGCGTGGGTTGAAGGGTTTGACCCTCCGGGTTTTAATGGCTCTGGGTTTGTGCAAGTGCGTACGTAGGCGCGGGGTTTGAAATGCAGCGGGACTTAGTGAGTTTCCCGCTGTCTCCAGCAGTGCGGGTGAAGCTGGTGTCTGCAGGTTTCCAGAGTGCTGAGGAACTCCTAGAGGCGAAACCCTCCGAACTCAGCAGAGGTAACGACTCGCGACGGCAATCTCAGGCACATTTTCCCGCCTTCACGGATTCATTTTGTCGCCAGTAGGCGCTGCCGTCCCCCCCGCCCAAGTTTACAAGGGGAGATGGGTTTTGACTCCACCTAAAAGCTATCTGGCTCGGCTTAACGGTGCAAGCCTGTAATATCAGCTAATTAGGAAGGTGAAGTAGGGTGGCGCGCTCAAGGCTATCCTGGGCAAGTTAGCGAGACCCCGTCTCTAGAAAAGAGAAAGAAATTGTAAAACATTTCAGATTGCTTTCTCTGACGTAGTGCCTGCTGAATGCTTTCAGGATCATCTGGTTTACTCTCATAAAAATGCTTTTCTAGGATTAGTATGTCCAGTATAGGTGAACGAACTTAACCTGCTTGAGGAGGTTATGCAGCTTCATGAAAATAGGATCTGGTGGTGCTAAAATTGGGAAGCAGTTTGTGTATTTTTTGATGTTCCAAGAACCAAGGGGGTGGGGATTAAATTCCAGAAAGGAATGATTCTTGCGGGACCAGACACTTTAAAAAGGAGAATATTACCTTAGGTGTGAGGGTTGAAGCTTAAGGGCCTTTTGCCATTAAGCACATCCTTAGCCCAGCTTTATTTTGACACAGGGTCTCTGAGTTGTCCCGGCTGGCCTTGAACTTAGCCCTAGCCTCCAGAGTAGTTGTACACCACTTTCCTTATGTAATTCACTGAAAAGCCCCAAACCTCATTTTCCAGACCACTGAAGATTATTTGTTGGTGAAACCATTATCCTGAGGCACACAAAAATGATGCTAGCATGGTCACTCTCATTGTACATGTAACACTATGGTATGCCCAGGCCTGTGCTATTCACTAAAGAAGATAGGTGTTTTTTTTTCTTTTGCAGTACTGGGTTGGAACCTGTGCTTCATACATGCTAGGTTGGAGTGCTACCACTGAGCTACATCCTTATTATCATGTGGTTATCTAAAAATTAAAATTAATGAGGACGAACCATTATTGTGCTAGACTTTTAAATCTCTAAAATCAACGTTTTTATTTCATATTTTACTTTCAGAAGCTGGGATATCTAAAGAGGAAGCCTTAGAAACTCTGCAAATTTTAAGAAGAGAATGTCTCACAAATAAACCAAGAAATGATAGTACATCTGATACTTCATGCAGGAAGTATACAGCCCTGGATCTTCTTGAGCAGGAGCATACCCAAGGCTTCATAGTTACCTTCTGTTCAGCACTAGATAACATTCTTGGAGGTGGCATACCCTTAATGAAAACAACAGAAATTTGTGGTGCACCAGGTGTTGGAAAAACACAATTATGGTAAAATAAGATGTTCCTGTCTTGAGGGTGGATTTAATAGCATTTTATGTAAATAATGTGCTTTGGGTTTATAGTCAGGAGAGCAAGAAAAGGCTTACCTGGCTCTTAGTTGTATGTGTATATGCATCAAATAAAAACCAGCTTCTTAACAAAAATGTTTCTTTTGCAGTGTTCTATTGTGGTCACTAGGGTAAACAGGCAGTCTTTATTAATTCAAACATTTGAAAGATTTATGCATGGTAAGAAAGGGTTCCATTTCCAGAAGCCTAAAAAACACAGAAAGTCCTTAATCTTGATTTCTGGATACGCCATTCTCTCTAATCCCAGCATCAGTTTGTTTGCAGACATCTGGAGGCATGGAGAGTCAGCCATCTCCGTTGCCTTGGGTAGGATACTTGTATTTATAAGTGCTTTTAGAGGTGTCTCCCTGGTCATTATCTGGTGTTTGAAAAATATTGCTTTAATGACAGTGATAATCATTTGATCATTTGACTTATTTTTTGACAGTATGCAATTGGCAATAGATGTGCAGATACCAGAATGTCTTGGAGGAGTGGCAGGGGAAGCTGTTTTCATTGATACAGAGGGAAGTTTTATGGTTGAGAGAGTGGTAGACCTTGCTACTGCCTGCATTCAACACCTTCATCTTATAGCAGGAACACACAGGGAAGAAGGTAAGTTAACAAATACTCCTCCTTTTTCCCATATTACAAAGATAGTTTGCATTTGTACCCATCTTATATCTCAGCAAGAGACTGTGAAACTTAATTACATAATAGTGCATTAGTGTTAAGTTCTCATATGTCTGTTATAAAATGAGAAATGCCACAGCCTGAAGTGGGCTTGCTTGCTTTCTTTCTTTGTATTGGTTTTTTTGAGACAGGGTCAACTATGTGGTTCACATTGCCCTGGAACTCATTATGTAGCCAGGCTGGTCCCAAACTCTCAGCAATCCTCCTGCCTCAGCCTCCTGAGTTCTGGGACTACAAGCATGTGCCACCACGCCCACCTTTTTTATAACTTTATTCTTTTTGGTACCGGGGATTGAACTCAAGATCTTGTGCTTGCAAGGCAGGTGGTGGAACCACTGAGCTAAATCTCCGGCTATTTTATAGTTTTTCTTACTACACTACCTTTGGGGCAAAACTTTTTTCTTCTGTATTTCAGTGCATGACTATAAATCACCATATTCCAAGTTGCTAATGTGTACACTTAGTATAAGGCAGTGTTGATAAATGCATTCAGTGTATGTAGACTTCCATATTGTGTTTCCCAAAAATGAAAGATAGTTTTCAAAACCATGTTTAGAAATATTTGAAATTTAAGCTGATTGGCCTGTTGAAGTTTTGAATAGTGTGTAATTTACATCCCTGACCCTGTTTGTTTATTTTTATTTTAAGACAGGATCTTGCTAAGTTGCTTGGGCTAGGTTCAAACTCACTTCGAATGATAGAGTGCTAGGATTACCGGTATGCACCACTGCACCTGGCACCTGTACATTTTATTTTATTATTTTGGTACTGGGGATCAAACTTGGGACCTTGTTCTTGCAAGGCAGGTATGTACATTTTAAATTGCAATAATTAATTGCTTTCTCTCCGAAATGTGTACCAAACCAAACTTGTTATTTCCTGATCTAAATCCAAGCATTTTATATCATTGTTTCTACTTAAATACTGTACACCAGTCAAAGGAAAAATGCTTCACTTAAATATTTTTCCTTTTTACTCTTAATTTCTAGTCTTAAAAAAACAATAAGAGAAACGTCCTTTATGAAGAGATATGAAAATAGAAAAAAGTCAGTCATTAAAGTACTAGTTAGATCAGGCATGGTGGTACTTGCCTATAATCCAAGCCCTTAGAAACTGCGTAGTTTAGCGAGACCCTGTCTGATAATAGAGAAAACTCTGGATTTCTATGTGAATTAGCAATTTCTAGATAGCCTAGTACATTAAGAAACAGTGGAAAAGATGAAAAAGAGGTCAGGAATTATGAAATGATAGTTTATAATGACTATGCTGTAATTTTGTCATCTTTCAAATAAAGTTTGTTATACAAAATGCAGCCCTTTATTATTAAAGAGTATTGCTTTTCTACAATTGTTGGCCTATTAAAACAAGTAAAACTAGATGGGCATAGTGGCACATACCTGTAATTCTAGCACTTGTCATGAGTTTGAAGCCAGCCTGGGCAACATAATGAGTTTAAGGCCAGCCTGAAACGCATAGCAGGACCCTGCCTTAAAAAACCAAACAAAAAAAAAAAGTAAAAGTTATTCAGATTGCTTTAAGTTGCTTTCTTGTTTGTTTCAGAACACCAAAAAGCTTTGGAGGATTTCACTATGGAAAATATTCTTTCCCATATTTACTATTTTCATTGTCACGATTACACAGAGCTACTGGCCCAAGTTTATCTCCTTCCTGATTTCCTTTCAGATCACCCAAAGGTATGGGTCAAACTACTGAAATATAACTAACCAAGTATCTTTGGAGGTATTTAATAAACATGAAAACAAAACACAGCATAAAATTAAAATCAAAACCCATCTTCTTTGGTGCCCTATAGTTTATATTTATTTTGCATACATGTGTTTGCACATTATTCAAACTTCAACTTCAAAGATACTTAAATATACATTATCCAGGTATATGTGTATATGAGTATGTGAAGTTTTTGTTTTTGTTTGTTACTGGGGATCAAACGCTTTTATTTATTTGAAGCTAAACATTTATTGGTACATTTTAGATATACATATAAATATTTAGCTTAATAAAACCAAAAAAATTTACTTAAAAAAAAAGCTGGGTGTGATGGCACATTCTTATAGTTCCAGCCCTCAGGAAGCCTTTTTTTTAAAGAAAATTTAATGATAAACTTTTGGAAACATATACAAATTGAGTGCAATTTTATAGAATCTATTGGATCTGTTCAAGAATAAATACTGGCAAAATTTTAAGACTGAAATTCCAAGTAGTCTGAGGTTTCATGGACCCAGTAGTAGCAGTGACTGTTTCTTTGATTTTCCGTGATATTATGGAAGAACACAGTTGACAGGGAAAATGCAACATAGATAGAAACAAATAGAGAAATGAATAGACTAGCTAGTCATCTGTAATCCCAGATACTATAGAGGCTAAGTCAGGTGAATTATAAGTTTGAGGCCACTCTATGCAATTTAGCAAGACCCCATTTCAGAATTAAAAAGGATCCAGGAGTGGTTACACACACCAGTAATATCAGCACTCTGGGAGGCTAAGGCAAGAGGTTTAAAAGTTTAAGCCTAACTTAGCCTAGCCTAGCCAATTTAGCAAGATTTTGATTTAATTTTGAGATCCTATCTCAAGATTTAAAAAAAAAAAGTTTGTCGAAAAAGGGCTGAGGTGAAGGAAAAGACAAGAAAATAAGTGAAAATAAAAGGAATAATGGAAACAAAGCTTTTGTACACAGGGAGGGGAAGGGGCTTAAGGGGGAGAAAGGGTTCAACTCACAGTACTAAAAAAATAGATAGGTAAATAAAAAATAAAAAGGGCTGGATATGTCCTAGCTCAGTGGTAGTGTTTCCCTGGGTTTAATCCCCAGTACTGAAAAAAAAAAAAAAAGAATGAGTGAAAGATTAAAACATTACTTAGCTGAATTTAGTGGGCTTTAGTTTCAAGTATTCAGAAGACAGAGACAGGACGATCATTTGGGAGCAGCCTGGGCAACATAGACTGTATGATAGTGTGTTTATTGTCCTAGTTATTGAAAGGCTGAGTCAGGAGGATCACTGAGGCCCAGGAGTTCAAGGCCACCGTGTGTGTGTGTGTGTGTGTGTGATAATTACCAAGGCATTGCTTCAGAAAAGCCTTTTCTTAAAGTTAACCCCAGCCATGTAGGAAAAAAATTAGCCTTATAGTTTTTGTTTGTTTATATTTAAATTGATTTCGAGATTCTTTTTGATTTTTGAGTCTTAGCATTATATACTGGCTTACTGCTCTGACTTCACTGTTTATATGTCGATAAATTATTCTAACTTCACTGAATTTTTTGTAATCAAAACTTTTGTGGTGCACATGCCAAACAAGCATTCTACGACTGAGCAACATCTCCAGGTCGCAAAAAGCTTTTAATGTCAGTTTCACTAATAATTATAAAATGTCATAAAAATTTATTATCTGCACATAAACTTTCTTGGTTAGAATTCAAGACAAACCTTATTGTGAGTTTTTTTTTTAATTATAATCGATTCTGTGATGGTTATTTGCCCTATGATGCATTTGAAATTAAGGGAGAAAAGTAAACCCAGAAATTAACTTTTTGAAGAAGATGTTATCATTTAATATTTGAAAAGATTGTTGCTTTTCAATTTTTTTGAGATGGAATCTCAATATTTTATACAGGCTAGTCTTGAACTGATGGGTTTAAATAGTCCTCCTGCCCCAGTTTGCCAAATAGCTGTAACCATAGCAATGGGCACCATATAAGTAAGGCTTATGCTTTAGTGATAAATTGTAAAGCCAGAGTACATTTTAGCTTTATTTTATTTTATTTGGTAGCAGCGATCAAACTCAGGACCTTGTGCTTGTGAGGCAGGCACAGTGCCACTGAGTATTTTATTTAAATGAGATAAGATCTCAGTATGGTACATGGGCTGGCCTTGAACTCAGGCCTCCTGCTTTAGTTTCTCCAATAGCTGGGAGTACAGGCATGTGTTTCCACACCCAGCTCTATATTTTAACAGTTAATGAGTACTGTACAAATCATTGGATAAATAGACTCATAACTCTCCAAAAGAAAGCCTTTCTTTGGAGAGTTGGAAATAAAGCCTTAGATTTTAAGGTTTGTTTCTGTAATGGAATATGCTTTTTGGATGCCACTTTAATTTTTAATATCAAAGCTACTTTTATCTCTTCCATATTTAGGTTCGATTAGTGATAGTAGATGGCATTGCTTTTCCTTTTCGTCATGACCTTGATGACCTATCCCTCCGGACTCGATTACTAAACGGCCTAGCACAGCAAATGATCAGCCTTGCAAATCATCATAGATTAGCTGTAAGTATTACTGATTAAGAAAATTTTATGAAAGTCAAGAGTATATAATATTAATTTCTATGTCTAGAAGTTGCAAAATACATTTTGCCTAACAAAGGAAATAATGCACACAGTTTTGAAGTTTTGTTTTGGATTGGTTTCTACAAAGAATTAATTCCATTAAGAAATATTTAATTTTTTCTTCAAATTAAAAAGCATAATACATGGGTCCAGGGATTTGGCTCAGTGGTTCTGTTGTCTGACTTGTAAGCACAAGGGCCCAAGTTCGATCCCCGGTACCACAAAAAAAAAAAAGCATAATATGTGCCATTTTAAAAAATGGACTTTGATAAAGAAATGTCATATTTAGTGATTGCAGTACTTTCCTTGTTAAATATATTGGATGTTTTTCAGGTCCTCCTTTTCCTTTACTGAGTTTTTGATCATTACGTAGTGCCCATACAAACTCAGAAAAATGATGTAATGTAATCAACCTAGATATTTTGAGGTATAGCCAACTTTTCTAGATTTGAAATGTGAGGAGAGATGTAAATAAAAATACAGAAGTGAAGAGATAAAAATGAAGTAGGCTAGTAGGCCTAGTGTGGTGGCACACACCTATAATTTAGCACTTGGAGTTCAACACATAGTACCACAAAAAAAGTTAAAAAGAAAAATGTTGAGTTTAATACCCATTACCAAAAAAAAAAAAAACTCTGTAGCACATATCTATAATACATATTAAAAACGAAGAACTTCCTCTATACAATTTAAAACTTTTTTTTTTTTTTTTTTTTTTTTTTTTTTTTTTGAGATAGGATCTCACCATGTAGTTCTGGCTGGTCTTGAACTCAGCAGTCCTCCTGCCTCAGCCTCCTGAGTGCTGGTATTACAGGTGTGCACCACCACACCTGACCTAAAACACACATATTTTAAGTTTTTAGATTTTTCCATAATCTGAAAAGCATAGTATTCTGTTTAAACCATTTCTTGCCATTAATTGTAATTTAACACTGCTAATACCAGCATCAATGAAGAGTCCCCCAGTAGAGGGCACTCCAGACTAGGGGGTTATAGAATTTTTATTTTTTTGGTACTGACGATCAGCTCAGGACCTTGCGCCTCCAAGGCCTTTTTCATGTTTTTGAGACAATATCTTGCTAAATTGCCCAGGCTTAGCTTGATCTTGCAATCTTCCTACCTCTGGCTTCCAGAATGCTAGGTTGCTGGTGTGTACTGCCATACCTGGTATTAGGTTTTAACAGAAATAATTTTATCTTTTCTGGTTAAAAGTAGTCCAGCTAGAAGCTGGATGTGTTTGCGAATACCTGTAATCCCAGCACTAGGGTGGTGGAGGAAGGAGGATGGATGCTAGTTTGAGGCCAGCTTGGACTATATACAGTGAGTTCAAGGCCAACCAGAATTACATAGTGAGACTGTCTCAAAAAACCAAACAGAGAGCTGGGGATTTAGTTCAGTGATTCTGTGCCTGCCTTGCAAGCTCAAGGTCCTGAGTTCTATTCCCAGTGCTGAAAAAAAAAAAAAAAACAGAACAAAAATAGTCCAGCTGGATGAAGTTGTGCACACACCTGTGTAATCCTAATACTCGGGATGCTGAGCCAGGAAACCCAACCTGGGCTTCAGAGTCAGGTCAAACCTACACTGTAGTGCATAGCAAGACCCTGTCTGGAAAACAAAACAAAACAAAATTAAAATATATGAACAAAAATTCATCCAAATAAGAACATCAAATGCCACAATGTTTATGAAGTGATGTAAATATAAATGTACATACATGGCTGGGCACAGTGGCTCGTGTCTGTTATCCCAGCTACTTGGGAGGCTAACGTAGGAGGATGGCAAGTTCTAAGGCAATTTAGCAACTTAGTGCGATCCTGTCTCAGATAATAAAGGGCTGTCATGTAGCTCAGAGCTAAGGTCATTGTTCACTCCCTAGTTCTGCAAAACAAACAACAATGAATAAATTGGTAAAAATTGAAAATGTTGGGAAAATAGCTTAGTGGGTTATATAGTTCAAGGCCAGCCTGAAACACATAGCGAGACCCTGTCTCAAAAAAAAAAAACAAAAAGAAAAGAATAACCGAAATGATCAAAGTATAAACAGTGCCTATTTTGAGGGACAAAATTTTGTATAATTGGGTACATTTCTTCTTACATTATAAATTGCTTGATTTTCTTTTTAGTTAGCATATACAAAAACATGCATACCTCTTGATAATAAATATATTTTACAAATTTCAAGTATGCATGCTTATAGAGAAAAATACTTAGAAAATGATTATCTGTTACTCAGGGATGTTTGATGTACATATTTCTCCAGACTATGTTATGCATATACAACAGTACTTTTTAGAAAATGAGGTAATATTATGCATGCTGTTATTGTAAAACTTTATTTTTTTACTTAATATATTATGAACACCTTCCCTTGTATACTATTTATATGTCTGCCTTACCTTAGCAGCTTTTCTGGGACTGGGAATTGAGCCCAGGGTCTTTTCACTGAATTATATTCCCAATCCTTCTGAAAATTATTTTGGGACAACCACTGGTGAAGCTACTTAGGCCAGGCAGGAACTTGCCATTTTCCTGCCTCAGTTTCCCCAAGTGTTGAGATTACAGGTATGAGCCACCATGCCCATCAACTGAAGTATTTTTAAAGTGCTGCAGTTCATAATTTTGAAGTGATTGTTAATTATTTTAAAAACTTGAGAAGTTTGTTTAGAGGCTTGAAGTAGGTATACAATCATTTTCATTTATTTCTATCATGGTAAACCCTAAATTTTATACAAATAATATAATAATTACTTTATAAAAGTTTGCTATGAGTTGGAAATTAATTTTAGAATGTTGACGAACTAGTTAGCTAGTACTTTTACTTAAATTTTCTTTTTTTTGGTACCAGGGATCAAACTCAGGACCTCATGCTTGCCAGGCAGGCCTGGCCCATACATTTTCTTGAAGATACACTCTCACCTAGCACTGGCTTACTTAATTGAACTTCTGGAAAGAGAAATGTGCAATGTAGTACAGTAGCATGGCTTTTATTTCCACTTTCATTAAAAAAAATTTTAGTAGTATATGTTTGTGATACATAATGAATACATTCACATATTGTAACAATCTTAATCCTTTTTGCTTTCCCTCCTCTGCTCTGCATGACTTTTCAACACTTGAAATATGGCTGATGTTACCGAGGAACTAAATCTCTAGTTTTAACTTTAAAATATGCATCTGACTAATTAATGGCTATGGAATTAGAGCACCTCTAAACAAAAAGTGTCAGCATAAGTACATATCCTAGTGGCTACAGTTTCAGCACTTGGGAGTATGTACAGTAAAAGGTATTGCTCAGCATGTTGGGAATGCCAGTAATGTTTCAGTTAATTACCACTTAAAATTCTTGCCTAGTTCTTTCTAAGGTGTCTGCTGTGAGGTAACAAAGGAGAGAGGTACTATGGTACTTAAAGAGGGAGGATTAAAAAAAGAAAAAAAATCTCCTGTCATCCATTTGGTTATCTGGTTGAGGTCTAAATGGACCATCAACTCATTTGTAGGTAAAATTTTTAGGGCATTACCATAGCAATGGAAACAACCAAACAGCCTTTTCTTTCTTAGATTTCTTATGGAACTGATGATTTTTTTTTCAGTATACAACTTTCCTTTATTGTTTTTCAAACTTTTTTTAAAAATCAGTTTCATTTTATAATTGTAACTGTCTAGAGAGAAGATTGGTATTGGAAGAATATTTAAAATAACCATTTCTGGAGAATTCTAGATAAAAAGATGTCAGATAATCTGACTTACTAAATTAGCCTTAAGCACTTTTGTTTATTCTTACTGTCAGGGCTGGGGCATGTTGTTCAGTGGTAGAGTATGTGCTTGGCATGCAAGACTTTTATTTTTTTATTTTTTTATTTTTTTTGGTACCAGAGATTGAAATCAGGACCTTACGCTTGCAAGGCAGGTAGCAGAACCACTGAGCTAAATCCCCAGCCCTGGCATGCAAGTCTTTAGGTTTAATCCTGGCACCCCCCCAAAAAAAATTACTGTTTCTAAACATGGAATCTTTTCTATATATCTCTATTCCACTTCAAAACAAAACTCTGATTATTTATTCCAAGCTTCAGATTTCTCCTGTGTAAAACTGAGATAATAATAGTGCCTCACTCAAAGAGTAGTTGTGAAGATTAAATAATGAAAGCAAATTGTTTTTAACAGTTTATGGCATATATTAAGTGGTAATAAGTGTTCATTATCACTACTAAATCTTTGTTTGTGTTTTGGTTGTTTCTGTTGGCATATACAAAACTTAAATTTTATATTATTTATATGGTTTTATGAGACAAAGTCTCATTATATATTCCAGGCCAGCTTGAACTTCCTGTGTAACCCTGGCTGGCCTTGAACCCTCCTGCCTAAGCCATACAAAACTTCAATTATAAAAGTAAAATTATTCCAGTGCTCCCAGTTAAGTTTTTATTCCTTAGGCCTTTATGTATTGCTTGATATAATTTATTCTTCTCTTTTTATAATAAGAACTTTTTTTAATCTGTTAAATGTTTTCTGAGCAATATAAGACATGTTTTCAGATAATTATTTTTTATGAGCAAATTTCTTTTTAAGTACTAGGGATTAAACCTGGGGACTTTACACTAAGCTAACTCCTCAACTGTTTTTTGTTTTGTTTTGTTTTTAATTTTGAGACAAAATTGTTAAGTTACCCAAGTCTTGTTAAGTTACCCAAGCTGGGATTGAATTATCCTTCTTCAGCCTCCCTGAGTGTTGGCATTACAGATGTGTGTTGTCATGCCTGGATTATTTTTTTTAATAATCAGAAAAAATTTTCTTAAGTATGTTTTAGCAGTTATATCCAGAATAATAAAATCGCAGAACTATTAACTTGATAATATTTTGATAGAGACTCAACATTTCTCACATTTTACTTTTGTAGGTAATTTTAACCAACCAAATGACAACAAAGATTGATAAAAATCAGGCTTTGCTGGTTCCTGCTTTAGGTAGGTAAATTAATGAGATAAACATTTTTAGCTTAATACATTTTTTCCTACCTTTCCATTTGATGCTAGTTGAATATTATCAGGTCCATGACAACAGACTATTTTTATTTACTTATATATCTTACCACCAAGCACAGTGCTCCATAGTAATGAATGGTCCTTTGACTTTTTAAACCAATATTTATTAAACATCCATTATCTGGCAACTATTATGTCAGCCACTTGAAATAAAAACATTCAAAAAATGATTCTTGCTATCACAATCTCATGTTGAGGCCCAGGGATTTAGCTCAGTGGTTCTGCTGCCTGCCTCTCAAGTACAAGGACCCAAGTTCTATCCCTGGTACCAAAAAAACTCATGTTGAGGTTGCAGGTGTAGCTTAGTATATGAGCACCTTCTAATGTGTGTGGTGCAGTCCTGGATTCTATCCCTAGCACTGTAAAAAAACAAAAACAAAACGAAGTAATCTCACAGTCTTAGGAAGAAAAGTGAATCCATTTATATACAAATCATTCTATAGCATACTATGACTGTCCTAATTTCAGTCATGATTTTGTTAAAACACACTGCTTTAAGATTGATTTCCACTAAAATCTATAAGCATATTCTGTTTGCCAGGTATGGCGATGTGCACCTGTCATCGCAGGTACTTGAAAGGCTGAGGTAGGAGGATCACTTGAGCCCAGGAGTTTGAGGCCAGTGTAGGCATCATACTGAGACACCTGTCTTTAAAACAATTTGTTTTTGGTACCAGGGATTGAGCTCAGGACCTTGCGCTTGTGAGGCAGGCAGCAGCACCACTGAGCTAATTCCCTGGCCCTAAAAAATTTTTTTAAAGAATATTCTGTTAGAGTTCTTATTTCTGGGGCTCAGAAATATGTTAGTAGGCCTGATGATGTGGAAGACTGACAAAGACATCTATAGAAATCAGTAAGTTCTCTAAAAGCAAATAGAAGATAATGATTTGACTTATTTCTCTATGTAGATGAACTATTAATCTTAGGATGTTACTCATATGCAAGTTTTTTGAAACTAAGTACAGTGTATGCTTTTTTTTGAGGCACTTCTAAGTTGCATGTTGTGATCCTCCTGCCTTAGCCAAGTGGTCCAGGGGTGCACCTGGGATTACCCTCGTGCATCACTGGGCCCAGTTCCAAGTATATTCGTGTTATGTTAAATTTAGTAAAGTAAGATGACTATTTGGTCAGAGGCATTCTAGGAAACATAATCTAGTCAATAAGGGAATATATCATTATCATGTTCTTTTTTTCAGGGGAGAGTTGGGGTCATGCTGCTACAATTAGGCTAATTTTTCATTGGGACCAAAAACAAAGGTCAGTATGGAAACAAGCTAGTATTCTGAATATTAGCATAGTTATACTAAATGTTTAACAGTTTTTTGTTTTTTGCTTAACACTTTCTTAAGTTAGTCCCCAAGAAAAGATTTACAGTGACCCATGAACTAATGCTTTGTTGCCTTGTCAATCACTTAGAACCAACATAGAGACATGTTGTTATATTGTTCATTTAGCTACATAGGGAATTCTTTGGAATATTTAAATGATGGGGTACACACACCTGAAACAAGTAGGTGGCTAAGGAATACCACCCTCTGAAGCTCTTTCAAGTCATTTATTAGCTGCACAAGGAGGTGGTACTCTGTGTTCCTAGAGGGAATTGAAAGAAGAATAAAAGCAGGACAAAAGGAAAACTTTTGAGGTTAGGTTTAGGACTAATTTATACGGAAAATGGGATGGTTTTTCTTAGCTGCTTAATATAGTTCTTGAATGAAATTATGCGTGTTAGTTTTTTCTTCTGTATTTTCCTATCCTGCTTTTATTACCCAGTTCCTTACCTGCCTTTCATAAGTATTGTTCTTTAAAATAAAATCATGACAGCATGAAACCTTTGTGTTTTTAAAGCTGTTGAATAAGGGAATGAGCCAGCTTTCCTTTTCTTTAAAATAGGCCGTTGAATGCTATGAAGTGTTTCAGTTTGTACTTCAAAAAATGTCAGTTTCATGCCAGTCTCTCTGTTTAGTGATTAATTGGTATAACCTAGAGAACATAACATGGAAATGCCTTAATGAAGGAGGCAACTGAGGCAGTGTATGGGTACGGATGGAATAAAGGATCATCTAAATACATTTTGCACCTAGCTGGTGATTTTTTTTTTTTGTCTGCATTTGTTTGTTCTGCAAACTAAAAAAATAAAATCATGCACTCTTGATAAATTAGGTTTTACTTACCTAATCTCTTAGGAAAACATTTCTCAGTATTTTTTTTTCTTTTTTACTGGGGATCAAACTCAGGACCTTGCACTTCCAAGGCAGGTGCAGTGCTACTGAGCTAAATCCCTGGCCCTTTCCATATATGCTTTACAATTAATTCATGTAGTTTATGCCTCCTTTAAAGATGGTATTTCCAGCCAAGTGTGGTGGCACATGATGGTAAGTCCTATACTCTCAGAGGATGAGGCAACAGGAGTGCAAATTTAAGCCCATGGTCGGCTACATCCCCAAGCCTTTTGTTTTGTTTTTTTGTTTGTTGTTTTGAGATAGGGTCTTATTAGGAAGGTGAGGCTGGCCTTGAACTCACTATGTGTTCCAGGCTGGCCTCGAATTTGAGGTGATCTCCTGCCTTACTTTCCTGAGTGCTGGGATTATAGGTGTACACCACCACACACAGCTTGGTTTTTATTTTGAGAGAAAATGTCACCAACTTGCCTAGGCTTGCCTCCAATTTTAGACTCTCCTGCATCAGCCTCCTAAATACTAGGACGATAGGGGTTCCCCATAAGCCTAGTTTATATAATTTTTGTTGTTGTTATTGTTTGAGTTTATTTATTTAGAGATAAGATCTCCCTGTATAGTTTAGGCTCACCTTAAGCCAGCCCATTCTAGCCTTAAATTTGAGATCTTTTGGTCTCAGCCTCCAGAGTGCTAGGATTACAAGCATGTCCTACCATGTCCAGCTACATTGTGTTTTACAATTGACACATTCCCCCTTAATTCTGTAAATAAGTCACTGTATACAGATTGAGTATCCTTTTCCAAAATAGTTGGGATGTAAAGTGCTTTGGATTTCAGATTTTTCCAGATTTTGGAATACTTGCATATTCATAGTGAGATGATTTGGGAATAGGACCCAAGTCTATCCACAGAATTCATTTGTTTTATTTATACCTTATACACATAGCCAGAAGGTAATTTTATATATTTTTAATAATTTTTCGCATGAAACAAAAGTTTGCAGGTATGGAATTTTCTACTTGCAGCACCTGTAATTGCTCAAAAAAGTTTACATTTTGGAGCATTTTGAAATTTGGATTTTCAGATTCAAGATGCTCAGCCTATGTTTGAGCAACAAACGTTGTTAGAAGACTTGGTATGTGGTGGTACATGCCTGTGATGAGCCTGAGGCAGGAGGACTGCTATAAGTTTGAGACCACCTTGGGCTACATAGTTTCAAAAAGGGGTGGGGGCAGGATTTAGCTCAGTAGCCCCTGCCTGCCTTGCAAGAGCAAAGTCCTGAGTTTGATCCCTGGTACTACAAAAAAAAAAAAAAAAAAAAAA